CATGAGGACCTTCCCTCGTGAGTGAAATCTGAACTAACTCCAAGATAATCGTAATGGAAATAATTCATTATTAAGAACAGATATTTCAATTGACAGTAATTATAGAAACTGTAGATATGTTAATATTCTATTTCTAATGTTTAACGAAGTATATCTTAATCTAATGGTTCTAGTAAACATCATTTAATGATGTGTTTTCATTAGTAATCAACAGTCGTTCTCTGCATTGTCCCTTTGTCATTAGTCTCGTATACTTAACGAATGAAGTGGGAGTTCGTTTCGTATTCCATTTGTTTAATGGATAGATTGAAGTTAAACTGATGATATAAACGAACCTATCTGCACTATATTTAACAGATTGAGTTATTATGTTTCCCAGGTCTGAAAATTGGATATATATATATATATAGTCTGGTACAATCTTGTAAGACCTTATCAAAAGATCACTTCAGACTGTCAAATACATGTAAGTGCACGACTTCGAATGAATCTTAACATAAGATGAAAGCAAAAATCTTTCAAGAATTTTGTTGTAAGATATTTGGGTCAGGCTAACTTAAGCGTTAGGCAAAATTAAACGCAATCATTTGGAATTTTTAAAATTTCATGGATTTGAAATAACGATTACCTCTAAGTACAATTTGTTTTCTACTATTATAAGTTTATTATATTAATTTTAACTGGAGTAGTAAAATTTTCATTCAATACTAATTTTCTATCAAGTTTTATTGAAGTTTGCAACTGATAGTATTTCTTATTATATGCAAAAAAAGCTATCTATAATTTTGGAAGATGTAGATTTCGATATAGTTTCAATTAATGAAACGATCAAGTGATAACTAATTTATAAAGCTATTCTAGAGCCATATTGTATAATTCTCTAAGAAACAAGTGTTCATCTAACTTTAGTGAATTTAGAAGACTCAAATTAATTTTTTAATTTTGCTTTGGTAAAAACCTCGCAAACCATGAGTTAAATCTTATTACTAGTAGAGAGCAAAAAGAGATAATCAGTAAAAATTTTATGGTACATGATATCAGTTAGTAGCCACGATATGTAAAATGTTGAGTGCGACAGTGATTATAATGTTAGAACAAGGTTCATCTAATGTCCGACTAAAAATAGTATTGAAACAAAAAAAATTTTTTTTTGTTTTCATGTAATGTAGATTTTATGAATAATTTCTGCTATGAAATCATAACAGAAATTATTCATATATTATTTAATGAAATGATTATACATCAATTCAACTTTGTCGCCGCCGTTTCTCAATGCACATGATAATTAAAAATGACTTTTAAATAAAAAGAATTGAAAAAAATTAAAATATCTTTTCTTTTAATTTAATGTGGAATTTCCAACATGTTTACGAAATCATGAAAGAAGTTGTTAATATGCTATTTAATGAAATGTCTCTCTAACAACTAGGATTTTGTCGATGATTCTGAATGCGTATGACAATTAAATATCATTTATAAATAAAAGAAACATTTTTCTCTAATGTTTCGCCTAATTAAAAACGAATTTCGGTTAAGTTTACTTTTGCCTATGACATAATTCGTCTGAATAAGAGAGAAACACTACAGAAAAACTTATGTTGATAATCGATTCATGTAGAGCTATAATGCAACATTCTTTTTTTATTAGAGAACTTGTTTTCCATGGTTTGTGAAAGAATCATCGGATGGTTTTCGAGCACTGACAAACAAATGAAACTGGAATAAAGACCCAATACTGAGAAAATCAGTATCATGTTCGAACGTTCCCCTTACAGCATCAAGTTTTATCCGTCGATGGTATTACTTGCTCGTCATTGTCCTACACATTCTAGTTACATTCAAAGTTGTTCGACTTTGGAAACTGTTGCGTGTGATTATGCGCTATCTTTACTCGTAGTTTTATGTTTCACGCTTCTGATTTACATCCATTCGTTCATTTTTCATAATCCATTTGCAATTCTTTCACTTTTCTCAGCTATGAATGTACAATAATCGTAAAATCCTCGCACTGACAACAGAGGTTTCTGTATATTGATAGACTGAAATTAATGTTCAAATATAATTTGAAATGAATAAATCATAATGATAGAATTCAACAGGACCCTATTGGATTTACATCTGAACACAAGACATCATGTAATCCTTCCTCTTACTCTCTTTTCTGATTTCCTGCTCTTGTTATTTAATAATCGATTGTAATGATTGGCGAAGATAAAATAATTTTCAAGAAATTAATTCTTATCCAGTTGTGCTTATCTAAATAATAAAAGAAATTGCCAATTAAATCTTTTTTTCAGGTTTCAATTATAGTTGAAGGAGAACATCCAACTAAAAAGACATATTGAAGAATATGAAAAACATTGGATGGCAAAGTGAGTTCTCGATTCATGTAGTATATTCACATTAATATATTTTTTAAATAGACTAGATGGTGAAAGAGCAAGTTATTTTATTGAATTAGGTAAATCATTATCAAATGACGCCGATCGTAAACAAAAAGAAAATAAAACGAATATGTCGGGCGCTAAACTCGACTAAAGGTCGATTGAAAGCGTCGCAATATCCTACTGATTTAACGAAAACGTGTCGGTCGATTGTTAGACTTATGTACCCTGATGTATCAACACGTGCCAAAATGTTAATGTCATTGCTGCCAAATGAAACAGTTAGTGCGATTCACGCTAAGACAATAATGAATTAATTTGGAATAATAATTTCTTTTTATCTTAGAATATGCCAAACTAGTTCATGATCAACCCAGGTCGAACATTCCGGTCTCCGGATCCCGTAGAATACTCCAGGGAATATGCGGGAAATCGCTGGAACATGGAAGCAGGATTCCGGTCAAAAATACGGCCGGACTTTTCCGGCGAATTCCTGCCAAGTTCTGGTGCTTTCCGGCAGGAATTGATCGGAAATAACCGGAAAAATTTCCAACCGGAATACTGCTTCCACAAAATCAACGGAACTACTCGGAACCGGCCGTTTCCAGGTCGGACTATTCGATCTGGGAACCGAACGTGTCTACCTATAAACTTAATAATACCATAGGCAACGTTTTTGGAGCTGCTCAGCGTGAACAAGAAAATAGTAATTCGTCCAAATCATAATTTTTTTTGACAAATGTGATCATATTTTTTTGTATTTATACACACATATATATAGAAACATACATTTATTTGAATTTACTGTATAGATTAACATGAAAAATGAAATAAAACCCCTATGAACATTCGCTCTAACTATTCCCAAACAAGTTTCTTATTCATTCAGGGGTGACGCATACCAGCACTTAAAATGCTCGCTTTAACCCTAATACAGAATGATTCATTGAACAGAATCAACATAATTGTACCCTTTAAATTGCAAAAATAGGGCAATACAAGCAAAAATGACAAGTTTATGAAATGCTTTAACTATAATGCATTGAATATAATGAATATGATAAGATCATTCTAACTGCCAAAAAACTAGAAAAAATTACAGATAATCAACAACACCATGTGTTCTTGTTGTAATGCATTAGCAATAATCAAAACGGTCATATTGTGCAAATTTTAATGAATAATAATGTATTGAACATATTAAATATCATCACATTGTAAAATTCTAACGCATTACAATGCATACTGATATATCAACTAGTGAGGGAGCGTATATGGAATTACTTGCGATTTGAGCAATCCGTGCAACGTGAACATTTGATGAAAGTCTTTTGGACACACCTAGGATGATTTTGAATAGGCAAAAATAGAGAAATATATTTCTATTACTTTACTTTGAATGTCTCATCCGCAAACCAATATTTGTAGACTTCCAAAATTGAAAGATTCGAGGTCGTAGTAAAAAATGATCATTTTGTTGTCTTCGTGAAGGACATAATTTTTACCAGGATCTGTTTGTTTCAGATGATCAGGAAGTCGGTTGTCGGCATTCACTGATATTGCATAACGTTGTCGATGAACTGTTCTCAAAAGTGTGTCTTCTTGAGGCAGTTAGCCAGCTGAACCTAAAGGAAAAGATCTCAATACAGAATGTAGAATAGTACTTGATTGCTCTTCGCTGTCTGCAGAACGATATTCTATTTTGCTCTTGAGCCTTAAAACTCGAAGTTTGCTTAGATTCGGCGCATGACAATATTCAGCTGGTTCTCAAAGAATAGTATCCATTGACGGACTCGTATGACAGCGACCTAATCAATGATCAAAGCTAACGAAAATCATCTTTTTTATTTAAATTTACCTTTGAAATCTCGATGCTGGCATCGAAAAATCGTTTTTACATCAGTTTTTCGTTCCAAGGTATAGATATAACCTTCATAATCAAACATCGATTTTCCTTCCTTGCTTGAAAATTTCTTGATCGTACTCATCATTCTTAAAACAGTAGCAAATTATTGTATTATTATTGAAATAAGTGACTGTCCTCACTTTTTAGAATTATTTTATACTCAACTTTCAAATTAATTGTTTTGTTATATTTATTTGAAAATGCTATTAGAATACTGGCTTTTGCTTGATGTGGATAACAGTGTTAACAAAATTGACAAGTTTATTAGTTAATTAAAACACAGTGTTTTACTTTAGCCAGTGACAGAAAGAACATGAAATAGTTATAATAATTTACACTACATTCACGACGAATTGTCTGCGACGAATTCATCTAGCACCGTATTTATGAAAGAGAGTTTCTTCGATCCTTAAATCAAATGCTAAAATTATTATATTTTATCTTTTTCCGAAGTAGACCGAACAGAACATTTCATAGTTAGTTATTAACTCTTTGTTTTCATTTATTTCAGGTGCCACTACAATATATCAAACATCATGAGTCGTTCCACTTCTTTCAAGTAATTATTTGAGAATAAACAGTGACTGTTAACTTGTTTCATTATTATAGACAATTCGTGCATTTCATCTATCAGTTATGCTATGACATATACGACGCCACCGACTACTTATCAACAGCAAATGCATACATAAAATGCTGTATCTACAGGCATGAACACATTAGAATTTGGTTTCAAAGCTAAAACTTCAGCGAAGACTTGGCATCTTGATGATGTCAGCGTTATAGATACAAATGCATCAAACTCTGAAATGTTGATAAATGGCAACTTTGAGAATGGTACCCTAATCGGTTGGCAAGCGTTCTGTTCGAATTTGAATGGTGGCGGAACAGGTGGCACTATTACTCAATCATCTTGTCATAATGGCTCATATTTTTATGATGGTGCGAGTGCTGTAGCCTATGATTTTTTACGTCAATCATTTTCAATGGCAATCAGACACGTTTACGTTTTGAGCTTTTGATTATGTACAAATGGACATGCTGCAGAAGCTGCCTATGTCAATATCAGTTAAGAACTAGTGCATGAGCTTTGTTTGCTAGACTGATTTATTATTTTTGTCATTTCAATATAATTATACATACAGTTTAGTTACTAATAAAATATCAACATATCTCTATTTCTTTCATATGTTATTGAGTTATTTTACGTTTGTTTTGTAAATCTTCTGTTAATATGATCAATAAAAATTCAATTCATTTACAACATCGTACAAGTCAGTTTTGTTGTTTTAATAGTTTATCAATTAATTGTTGATGATCGCAATATCAACAATGAATTCTCGTACTTTATCAGGGGAAGCTTGTTGTTGTTATCGATGATAACGAATTGGGATATGAGATGCAAATTGTTCAGCAGTTGGTACACATACAAAAAAGTAAATTGTTCGATGGTTGTTTTCGACAGATGAATCTAAAGAAAGAAATGGTTGAATGTATGTTTAAAATAAACAGTCAAATCAGGTCATACGAACCCATAAAAAAAGATTATGATGTTTATTTTTCTAAATTACTCGTTTCTTTCGAACCAATCAAAAACTTTAGGCTTTGGCACGTCAGTTGATTCATTTCACATAGTAATCCAGGTGAAAACACGCGGTACGCATACGGTAGTTTTCGGCTTCACATCCAACAGCATCTGAACGGTCGTGTTCAGCAGTGTTACGGCAAAATACGAATAGCTGTATCCATCATCCTGCAAAGTGAACTATCATAACCCACTTTGTATGTTCCATAATAAATTTGTTTCTAACAAAATGCACCAATAAAAGAATGTTGACAATGAGTAGCTAAATCTCGTAAGTATGATCGATTTGAATTTCCAAATTTTAATGGCTATAAATGACAATCATTAAATGTGTATTTTGCATTTGACACAATTTGTTTTCTAAGAATATTATCTAATACGAAGAGGATCATTTTTCGTTTAAATGAATAACTGTTATTGTTTTATTGTCGAATGCAAGTTCGAGTGATTTAGATAATTGTAAATAAATTTTTCGGTCAGTTGAATATGCGCATTAACTACATCGCGGCACCATCCACAAATCATACATTCATTTTCGTATATACCAGAATAGTTGATTATGACTTGTTTGGAGAAACTGTTAACGGATGAACCTTGTGACCTTGCAGTTATATCCCATGGATTAATTGTTGATCCCATAATTGGTTGAAAAGGTTCATACAGCATGTTAACATCATTTGATACAACGTAGAAAGAAAATACAATTTTCCATATTTCTTTAGGTACATTAATAAGTTGTTCAAAATACTAACATGAATTTTATTTCGTATCAATATTTTAAATTAGATCGGCGAGCTGATAGTACCAACTACGGATAATAATTTATTAATTCCAAACTATTAGTGTCGTTCGTAGGTGTAAGACTTATTTTTTCTTCTTGAGTATAAACGATTAACATTATCACCTAATTCATTTAATTTCTATTCGACATTGGTAATAAATGTTGTTCCTAAAGAGTACAGAAGAAAATTTAATATCATACAAAAATACAAAATAATTTTTCTTCAGAATGTGTATCTATGCATTGTAAACCAATAATATCACTAGAAATAATCTATGTAGTAATTCGTCACGCACATTATTTTTATTATTATTACGCGCGGCAACCATATGTCTGTTTACATCATCAGTGGCACATATAGTAGGTACTGCAACAAGCATTGTAACAATGGATACTCAGGTCGAACATTCCGGTCACCGGATCCCGTAGGATACTCCAGGGAATATACGGGAAAGTCACCATAGCCTGCAGGAAAATACGGGAAATCGCTGGAACATAGAAGCAGTATTCCGGTCAAAAATACGCCCGGACTTTTCCGGCGGATTCATGCCAGGTTCCGGTGCTTTCCGACAGGAATCGATCGGAAATCACCGGAAAAAATCTGAAAATTTTCCAACCAGAATACTGCTTCGACAAAATCAACGGAACTACCCGGAACCGGCCGTTTCCAGGTCGGACTGTTCGACCTGGGTATCTAAAAGAAAAGGGAGCAAGTGAAAGAAAGATCAACCTGAACTAAATCGGAAACAGAAATAGAGATTTAAAAGGTTTTACCGCAGCGGTTCACTTAATATACATTATCCTCTTCGCTATATTCTTATGTGCGTGCATTTACCTTGTGACCCACTCAATGTTCTATTACTTCATTATTTCCTCTTTGCTGCTATCCACTCATTCGAGATCACTCTCTATTATCTAGAGAAAATGTAAACGTAGTGGAAAGAATCGTTTTTACTTTTTAAACACAGTGATGTACCTAGGTGAAAGAAAACGGCCCGTAAACGGCCTGAAACGGCATAAAAACGATGTAAAACGTTAAAAAACGGCGCCGTTTCCCGTCAGCTCGGAAAACGAAGAGAATAGTGATAAAAGCGATGGCCGTTTTCTAACAAAAAAACGGCCTGTAAAACGAGCTGACGGATTACGGCGAAATAGGGTGAAAATTAATGCCGTTTTATGTCGTTTTATAGCCGTTTCAGGCCGTTTTCGATGGCCTTTCAGACGGCAGGATGATGCTCCTGGGTACTCTTGTTCATTGATTGTAACAGTGACAGGGCTAGTCAGTCCAATATATGTGGGAAAACTAATCTTCTTGTAAGACACTGAAACACCTTCGCCAATGTTCAAAACCTTGAATACTTTCATGCATTTTGAGTTGTATTCAATAGAATGTATAGTTGAAATAGTTGGTACATTCGTCTTGTCAAAATAGCCTTCAAAACGAAAGAAATCAAAATTAAATGATTTAATTTATTTTAGTTCAATACTACTCACCTATCCCTAGTATTTTTGATTCCTCGGGCGTACTCCATACCATCTTTCATATTATTGAAACTGAGTAAATGATTTCCACTGGACACCAGAGAACGCATCCTAATCTTAGTCTCACCACACACTCTATCAAAGACATCTTTACACTTTTGAACTTTACCATAGTCGCGAGTGAATAACTGAATGGCAATCTATCACATACAACAGTTTTATTCACCTTAATTTTATATAAAGAACTTACCTGATTACAAATCATCTTTTTAATTTCGAATGTTAAACACGAGGAGAAGTTATCCGCGTTATCTGTGAACTCGTGTAACGTTTTTTTTTATGTATGCAATCTTCTTTGAATTGCTTGATAATGATCTCATTGGTAATTAAAGAATCAAGATCTATCTGTGCAGCATTAGTCAGAGTAAGAATGTAGGAAGACGGCGCCGAAGCAGTGTGAGTGGTCGCAGCTGTTGTCAACACGCTGTGCCAGACAAATGAACCGACAAGTACAGATATACCTTTCATTCCAAAATATGTACTTTGATTCTCCCTAAGTTCTTGAGGTAATACCTTTTGTACCCAGTCGAATGTACAGAAGATTTCGTTATCTTCGATTTGCGAAATAATCTGGTTCTTTGTTTCATTTTGCAGAGCACCACAAATATAATGACTAGACCACTCTATTATATGTTGAGATGTATTATCAAAGTCACACTTGGTCTCACACTTGAACTCTTCGTTGCTAATTTCCCAATTCCATCGAGTGACCGACAAATATTAATACAATCGGGATAGTCAGAGGTATGTAGCCGAGTGTACTTATATTGATATTCAGGACATTTAGGATTACTAAGACTAAAGATGGTTCAATGTGTAATACAATCTGAATTATTTGAGTAGCAGCCACTATGGATCACTTTTCCTATTGCTCTGCCATATCAGTTTGTTTCAGTAAGCGTCTTCTGATCGATCTATGGGACGGGCATCCCATTAAAGCTATCTAAAGAGAGAAAAATAAAAATTGATCCTTTAAAATTAAATTCAACTTTCATCTGTCACATACTTGATAGATAACTCCATGCTTCAATACCTTCGACGGAGAATTCGTCCAATCCAACTAATACGTGTTGTTGTGCATGTGTTAGACTACTAAGAATAGCAATCTGTTTCTTATGCTGGGACCTTCACACAAAGTGTTATCCCAGTACTTCTTGTAGTTAACAATAGCATGCGTCTTTTGAGATTGGAGTAGTTGCATTGATAGATAATTCCGCTTTTTCACCAATGTTCATGCATAGAGTTTTGAGATCATAGTTGTCTCTTAATTAAGAAAAATATGCAAATTTTTGAGAAAGAATAGAGACAGACTCTATTCAGATTTCTGATAACTTGTAGATTGGTATAAGCAGTTCGATAAACTCCATCGGCGTCTTTTCTGAGTTCATTTTATCTGAAATGAGGGTATCACTTTTGGCCAGTCAGTTGACAAAATGCTTGGCTTTGTTAGGATAGGCACGTTGCCGAATATCTGGTTATTTTTCTGCTTTTAGTATGTACTTGTTATCGTTATTTATTTGATGAGCAGTTTTTGACTATATGTTCGGAGCAACCAAATTTCTCCATCACGTCGTCGTAGCACCATAACTGGGATAGTAGAGAGACGAATCGAACTTGTTCAACATAAACATCATAAATCTCTTTCTAATTTTACACTACTTCGCTATTGATGGACATATTAATCATTTGATTTTTCTCAGCATCTATTTCGAGTTCAATAAAAAGGAGAAATTCGTTGCCTTGACCTGTGGCAAGTGTTTTAGATAAATTGAAAGAGTTTGTGATTTTCCCAGAACATACCTCGTTAACTATGTGCTCTTCGACTAAGTTTGGAAAGTCAGCGGTGCATACCAATTTTTCCATGATGTTGTAGCAGGGTTCTTGCTTGATATCGAATTGGGGTTAGATTTGCCTCAGCCAGGATTAAATTCATCGTATCTCGAATATCTTCGATTATACATGTGATGCTATTCGTAAACTGAGAATGACAGTAATTGATTCAAAATCTGCAAATATCGACATAAATTTTCTGTTTATTTAGTGTCATCTAAAATTGAAATGTATTAGTTTAAATAAATCATTAAACGGATGAGAATGATCATACGGGCCGCCGATTGGGAACCATTCGCTCCTTGGACACACAAAGATATTAACCAGATAACAAGCAGAAGGTGATGGACGATTGCATCTTGGAATAACGTAGCATCATTCGACTCCAAAAAAGATACATGTTTAGGACAAATTGACTTGGAATCACCAGTAAGAATATTCTTAAATATCGATTGTTTCACAATCAAAATCTTCTCGTTAATTAATCATTCTGCCATCTTATAATTTGTGAATAACATAAAGTTGTTTAAGATGTAGCCGACTGCCTCGTTGAACTAAGTAAATGAAATTATAAAATAGTCGTTTCTAATAAAAAAGAATCTAGGCAGAGACTGAAAATAAGATATCTTAGATTATCAGAGTTTCTTACTATATGCTGATGTTTCTCATTTAGACATTGTCTCATCAGTCCAGAGACAGCATTGATCATAATTAACGGGAGCATAAGCTGACTTGAATGTAATATTATACATTCTTTTTCAATGCCATCAATAAGTATCTTTTCTGCAAATATAGACATAATCTTCACATGTAAAATTTCAACAGCAATTCAGCTAACTTGGGAGCACACTCAACATTATTACTAATCTCATTTATTTATGAATAGCTGAACGCCTTCAAATATTATCATAAACAACACAGAATGATGATCAAACGAATTGTTTTCTTCTATTCGATATTAATAGATTCATTGATTATATTATCTTCAAGTAGGACAACACAAGCGAGTTTTTCCTAGTTTTATGTCAATTGAAATTGTTTTCAAACAATAACTAGATGGAATTCGAGTTTCACTCGACTACGAGATGCGGTGCGAAGCATATACGCGTTATGCGAAGTCATTAAAAACGGAAAAAGATATATCAAGTTCGATCTTAAAACTCTTACCTAAATTTTCAACGAATCTTCTATGACTTTCCAATTTCGAGATCATCACGCAACAAAAATCACTTTTTAAATGCGTACGCGTCAAGTAAAAAAGTAAATAATTTAATAAAACAAGAAATATACCAAGTAAAATATAGTTTACTTTGAATAAAACAAGAAATAATTTCATATTAATTTTTAAAAAGTTATCTTATCACAATCTGTAATTTATTAAAACTGTTTCATCAAATTTGTATAGTATAAAATGTTGCAATTTTTTTTAATCCATTTAACATTTATAAATTTTCAATATAGTCAGATATATTATACATGTATACCATATTATTAGATATTGCATATCTATATAATTATCTAATATATTAAGTAAAAGCTGTTGGATTTTTTATATTTTAGATAAAATAAAACGTTTCAACAATTATAATAACAATTTTATCAAAGATTATATTATTAATTACTTTATAGCAAAATAAAATATGTTACAGGAAAATTTCACTAATTGTATTTAAATTATTGACTATCTAGAAATAATCTAATCGACTTGTAATTCGTCATATGTGATATTTAAAACATGTATAAAAGTAATTTGTTAAAGATAAATACTATAACATTATGGTAATTCTATATGAATATGTGTATTTAATAAATTTAAAAAAAGAACATTTTTCTTTGTTTAATCTCATTATCTAAATCTTTCATTAGAAAACTATGTAACTTAGTAGCCTTTACTAAAAATCAAAAATTTAATTTACTTTAATTTACAAATAGATATACATTAAGTTAGATGGCTCTGTATTCGTATTTTATCAATAGTATTTATTATTTTCAATCATATGTAGCAGAACACGACTGGCTAAGCAATATTGGTGACATCATTTTAATTATCTTATACTTGAAACTATAATTTTCTTTGAAAATTCAGCGTTTTAAAATCCTATTTGTTACACAGCGAAAAATTTTATTTAAAAAGTGGAAAAAAGATATATTAAGTTTGTTCTTCAAACTTTTACTTAAATTTTCAACGAATTTTCTATGATTTTTTAATCCCGAGATCATCGCACAACAAATGGCTATTTTGATGCGTACGCGTCAAGCTAAAACCAAAAAAAAACCGCGACGGACTACATGAATGCTGTACTTCGCACCGCATTAAAAATTATAATGATGATGAAAATACTAGACAATTATTCTCTCATCATTATGTAGTCGCAGTTTCTACTCGTCTATTAGTTCTACAACATGAAACAACCCATGTCGCACAGTTTTTTGTCAAATCCAGATATATATTTTGGAAAAAGAATTCTAATTAATCGAAAACGAAACTATTTTAGTGGATATTTTGGGAATTATTATTTTTACAGCAACATCTTTAATAAAATATTTATCTCATAAATGGGACTGATTTGAGATTTGTGGCTACTACAGGTGGCGCAGACACATCGACATTATCAGGGTGCACCGAATTCAACACGATTCTGCCGGTTTCCGGTAGTTTCGTTGATTTTGTAGAAGCAGTATTCTGGTTGGAAAATTTTCAGATTTTTTCCGGTGATTTCCGATCACTTCCTTGCGGAAACCATCGGAACCTGGCAGGAATCTGCCGGAAAAGTCCGGCCGTATTTTTGACCGGAATACTGCTTCCATGTTCCAGCGATTTCCTGTGTTTTCTTGCAGGATATGGTGGCTTTCCCACATATTTCCTGGAGTATCCTACGGGATTCGGTGACCGGAATGTTCGACCTGGGACAGGATGCATCACTTTCATGAAAAACCAGCGGTATACCGGCGGTAGAGCGCACATTATACCGAACGGTGAACCGTCGGTTTACCGCCGGCTTTTTCCCGGTTTGAATCACATTGGAAGTTCAGCGTCAACTGAAGATGAAGAAGAAAAAAATCAATTTGAATTTAATCATACTACAGCTTCTATTAGTTTGAATCATCTTCTTGAATTTTGTCAATTTTACGATTTCGAGAAAAGAAGGAGAAGAAAAAAAATTGTTCAACATGTTTATGTCGGATAATTTTCTTTATTGAATATAATGCTTTTTCGATCATCAGTTTGATTCAAATTTTCCATAGAGTGTACTTGTGAAATATTTTTAATCAAACTTCAAGAATTAATTCTTACAATTTAGTATTAAAATAAGCTGTCTAAAATTTCATAATATTTTAATCATAACATTTTTACGAATATTCACATTTATAGATAAAAGAATTATTAGTTATGTGGTGGTCAAGGAGTTAAAAAAATTCATTCACGCCCGACAAGTTCCAATATGAATTTGTTTTTCATACATCAGGAAAGCATAATCCTCCAAATTTTCTACCCGATTAAGAAAAGCATTATTTACCAGTTATTATAGAATGATTAGCGAAAGATGGTTTATATGGGCTTTCTAGCAAGGCACATAAGATAGAAATAGAAACCGAATAGTAAACGTCTGAATAGAAGCAAAAGTAAATTCATCTAGTTATGGTTTGCGATTTTGTTTTTCTCCATACATTTTTCGTCACCAGTATAATTTATTCGCGTCTAATGTAACCGTGCTTTATTAGTTACTCTCTGTTTCGTGATGTAAGACTTATGGCACATAAACAGTATGAGCTAGAAAATCTGAACATGCTTGTACCAATCGGATGCGTAATACGCAATAACATATAAAAAATATATTTGTCTCTACCGGCTGACCAGAGAAAAAGTTATATACTATTGACACTTTGTTATTGATTCACATTTTTAGTCATTTGAGTTGAACGATATATATTACCCTTATCAATATTGCTAGTGAATCCGTTTTGCTTTGACTCGTTTTTATTCGTTTCATAGAATTAATCAATTCATTTTGCATCAGAAATGTATAATAATACGATGGAAACATCAACAGTTACAATTAGAATCGACATGTATTGACTGAAAATCCTATTTCTCCATTTTATTTTTGCTATTTCTGTCACTCTTGTGTTCATATTGATCTGTATTATATTTATGGAAGAGGATATTGGTTTTCATCATTTGTTTTTCGATGTCAGACGTCTCATACATAATTCATAAGTTTTAAAAGGACACAAGTTCATATTCATCATAATTCCTATTCTTTACTACCACTTGGTAATTTCATTCTGTTTATTTCACTCTAAAGTTATTTTCGCCTATTCAACATTTTGAAATCAATTCTTCTAAGTAAAACATTTATAATGAAAAATAACTTTGAACTAAACGAAATGGTATACATTTCTTTCTTTCTTAGTTTGAATATTTTTTTCTATAGAGACATCTCATTGATGTTGGCGAATACAGTTAATATAAAGACTATGTAATAAGAATAGAACGTAATACGAAATGACTGTTGATGCAAAAAAAAGAAACCTAAGGAAATAATTGACATGTCACAAAATAGCTGGCTTTCATTTTATCATTATTAAACACATTTATGGGAAAAAATGAGAATCATATTTATATTCTGTTTGAGTAAGTTATCGTCAACATAACTGTTATTCGTTGAAAAAAAGTAGTTCTCGATACTCTTCACAATTTTCTTATTGATATGATATTTATACATAACAATGAATGATATGATGGAGATAAAAATGAATTTTATGCCGGATAATGAACAAATAAAAGAAGATGATGAAGAAGACGAAGAGGAAGAAGAACAACCATTGGATCAAAAAACTTTAGAAATATTAAATATGAAAACGAATCTTTTTATAAATATTTGTCAATCATCGTCAATATTCTTTATCTTAGTTATTATCTCAATTATTCCAAGTAAGTGTGTTTACCTAGGAAACACAATGTGTGAAAAAATCTACTCTTATTCTATATCAACTGAAATTATTTATTATCTATATGTTAACATAGTTTTTCGAAACTTTAAAAATTCTTATTCGTTCGAATTCTTTTCATTTAGTTTCACAAGTAGCTGTCGGTTGGCATTATTCCACAGCATGTCCCATCAATCAATCGATCCCATACTATCTAGTTGTTGCAGGAATTGTTGGATTTCTTCTAGTTGTTCTAATATCCGTTTCCCAAATGATGACTCGAACAATGTCAAATGTAATGTTCGATGATGCTGTTGATAGAGCAAATCCAAATCGAGCAACGCTGCTTGTTGGTTGTGGAGTTTGTAGTATTATGTGTATTAGTTTATCTCTTTTTGTATTTCTATTCGGTTGGTCTATTGCCGGATGGACGTGGGTACTTGAAACATGGCCTCGGGTTCAGTTTCAGCATGAAGCCAATAATGATTATTGTCATCCATTGGTTTACAGATTTACTGTGGCACTTCTTTTAATTAAAGCTTTACATGAAATGGTGTTCTTTTGTTGGCTTTGCAAAAAAGCATGTCCCAGAATAATAAACTTTCGAAGAAATGAAACTATGACAACCCTCGAGTGTTAACAAGTCGTAATGATACTAATACAAAGTTGGCTCAATTATGAAAAAACAATACAATTATGTACTAACTATAATCCTATTGAAAATAAACATTGAAATTTTATTTCAATTTATTTCTTACATACATTTTTCCATTTATATTTAGTTAAAAACGATTTTATGTGCAACACGTTAGAAAATAATAAAAAAATACTCTTAGCAGTTCCTTCTTACATCTACATTGTTGATGAAAAATTAAAATGTTCTTTATTCAACAGTATACTTGATGAGACCGTCATAGCCTGGTTTTTGTTCATATTTTGCATAGATCCCTACTTCCTTCGATCCGACCGTGATTTGTCTTTGTAGAATAGGATCTCTATAGCCTTCACTTCCAATCCATTTTGAATCAACTCTCACATTAACATCAATTGCACCTGGAATAACACATTCAATTGGAACTACGGCGCCTTTCTTTAGTACTCCATCGATTGGTGTAACAAGCTGACATTTAGCAGTTTGGAATGTCGAGTATATCATGGGAAATTTCATTGGTCGTCGAAGTTTGGTAACATCAAGGTCGAATCGTACCACCCCTGATGATCCCTCTTCATTAGTTTTGCTAGCGAAAACAGTAATTTCATGTCTGCCCGTTCGTTCAGGTGCAAATAAAATTTGCCAGAGTTTCTTTTCATTATCAAATTGAGCCAATGATCCATTTTCAACTGCGACGCGATTATATTGAATACTCCCTGAAAGTCGAACATCATCAGGGGCTTTTATGAGAACTTCAGCATAGGATGCATTTTCAGCCCAAATAAGATTCGAACGATGAGCTGGCGCTTTTATTTTGAGTCCAAAATCATAGAAATGTTGCCATGTGTAAGGATATGATATCGGTGGCAATGGAATCTGTGTAGCTTCAATTTTGAATGCAACAGCTGCATTGTAGCTTCCCGATTGAAACTTTTTCTTTGCCATGATGATTGCTTCAAAAAGACCATCTCGATCTGGTGCAAAATCACATCGCCAGACGTTTTTTCGCTGATCATAATAAACTCGATGTCCACCAGTGATTGCTTGTTTTGCTTCGTTTTCGAGATGCCCCATAAGTTCAACATCTTCAGGCGTCCTAATAAGAATTTGTGTATTACTAATTCCATTACTTAGTGTAATTACATGCGTATTCTGGGGAGATATAACTTGTAGACCCAAGTCGGAAAAATAGTCCCATGTTTTTGGAAAACTGATCGGATTTACTAGTATTTTTTTGACGTCCAATGATAATTCAAGTACTTCGTGATATGTATTAGACTCTGTAGCAGCTCCTTTCGCAAAAATTGTTATTTTATAGTTACCAACATGGGATGGAGCGAAATAACAATTGTACCATTGCTTTTGTTCATCAAAAGTGATACGATGTCCTCCATCAATCTCGTCATTTTTTGATTTTAGACTTGCTATAAGTTTTACAGTTGCTGGTGCTCGTATTAGAACTAATGCATATGGTTTCTCAGGAAGAAGATTGACATAAGCCTGATCACGTGGATTCACTAATTCAAGTTTTAAATCAAAATAAAGTGGGTGTAGCTTTGGAAGTTTTAAATATTGTTCCATATTTATTGAATTTTTTAATAATTGCCATTTTGGATCTTCTGGTAAATGATGATAAATCATTTCGTTTGGATGTGGAAGAAAATAGTATGATGCCAATTCACGTTTAAATTGTTTTCGGTCACCAATATGTCCAGCTCCCCATGTGGACTCCATTAGATACCAATGGTGATCAATCTCAACAGCGTTCCATGCATGATCAGTTTCAGTGTGAGCATCGTTACTGATTTCGAATCCATAACCTTTTGCATAGCCACTCACCTTTTCGCATGGCATTCCTAATTGATCACATAGATATTTATAGAGATTAGCATAGCCAGCACAAACACCTTTCTTGAATCGAAAAACTCCTTCTGCCGTTTGATCTTTATAATTCTTTGAAAAATAGGATTCTGTATCGTAGTCGATATTACATGCAATCCAATAGAAAATAATCCAATGTCGATCAACTAAAGATTTTCCTTTGGAAAAGGCTTTTATAAGTTCTGCAAGTTGTTGTAGAGATTTGGGTTGCCATGATTGAACAGTCGTTTGATAAGAACGATTGTTAATAGCTTGTTGACGTTGTTGAACAAATGAATTGTTGAATGCTTGTGAATCGGCAACTTGAATATGGACGTGAATATCTTTTTCAGGCAGTTGAACTTCGATCGGATCATCTACTGGCCTTACATTTGATGAAATTGTGTTATCTTCTATAGTTGGAGTGATTATAGAATCACCTACTTGATATTTGCTTGAGGGATTATTATTACCAGTTTTTTGTATAGCGGATTCGTTCACTGTATGTCCCTTACACACTTTACAACCCATTGTTAGTTGGAATTCAAAAGAAAATGAAGTGCAACTACAATAAAAAAAACTTTGTCTTTTTTTGCTGTTTCTCTTTTACAGCTATACATTATGAGTCAATGTTGTTGAGAAATCAAGCTTTTGCATGAGAATTTTACAGTATGACTTTTGATTTGTGCTATTTTCATCGTAATTCTGCAGTCAGTTGAAGAGATTTCGTTACTGTAGTAGTGAAGGAAAAAAATGTGAGAGAAGGAACAAAATATTTTACTTCTTTGATTGGAAGATGCGTGTCAATATGCACTTTAAAAGTTAGGAATCCATACAGTAAAGTATAAAAAAAGAAATTTTTTTCTGATTTGTAAGTAGGAAACGGATATGATTAATAATAGACTCATGTATCACACGAAACATAAGCGAATGTCTACCAGCAAGTTTTATATTTTGAGTGGCCATCAGTATTGTTGATTTTTCGTCTGTTATTGCGATTACTAAAGCAGGTAAAGTAACGAAAGAAACCTGAAGGCATGATAAAACGCAGCAGAAACAAATATATTTTTGGTAGGCGCTGATTCTTTTGTGACAATCGAAAAATTCTGCTCGAAAACAATTCAATCATTAATAACTTACAGGTCTTAACATATTTTTTTATTGAAGTATTATAAATAGGAAACCGGTCTATCGATGCCTATATATTAATTAAGTTCACTGTCAACGCATAAATTGGAAAAAGCCAAGTTGTGAAGTTTGATAAAAATCAGCTACTAATTTCTTTTTATAAAAATTGATACAATCAAGCAAATAGCTTCATTTGAAGGATTTTCTCGATCACTGATGGGACTCATTTGAAGAACACAAATGAAATTGTTTCATTGAAAAATTAATGACATAAGCTATTTCCGATGTGTATTATGGGATTGTATTCATAGTTTTATCTCTAATCTGTTTACTTTTTCATTTTTAATTTCAAAGAATTTCAGAGAGGGGTCCTTGATTTTCTTAAGAATAAATGGCATCTTAAATTCGGCCCACTATTCTCGGCCTGTAGTATCTAAGTAGCAATGAAATATAGAAATCATGATTGATGCAGACACTATAATTTTTACAAACGATCAAAAATTAGATGAATAATTTTTCTGGATTAAAAACAATAGTTCGTGTTCACTGAACATTATATTTGACAAGACCATTGTAACTGGATGTTTCCCCGTATTTTGCATAGATCCCTACTTCCTTCGATCCGACCGTGATTTGTCTTTGTAGAATAGGATCTCTATAGCCTTCACTTCCAATCCATTTTGAATCAACTCTCACATTAACATCAATTGCAC